CGCTCCGACGCCTTTCTCCACGTGAGAATCCTGGTGTTCTTCTGCTGCAACGCCTCCGCCTTTGTCATCTCGCTGGCTATCGTCCTGATCATTCACCCGAGGGATGTATTCGGCGCACTAGGAATCAAGTACTACCGCGTCTTGTTGGTAGCCATGATCCTGGACCAGTTTAGCCTGATTGGAGCCTATGTCGCCCTGAGCTTCGACCTGTCCGTCTAGATTGTTGTTTGGGTGTCCCTCCGTGTCTTGTTGCTATTAGCAGTGTTCCTGGCAGGCGCAAGATGGCGGCAGGCGTTCAGAGAGAATATGGAACTTTGTGTGCCCCGCAGGCTGAAGATGTTGTTTGCTTATCCATCAACCGATGGACACGAGGACGAGGATGACGACGACGACGACGAGGGGGCGGTAGGCATGTCACTGAAGCTGGAGAAGAGGCGCAAGCTTCTGGTACTCCTTGCAATTCTTGCAGCAATTCTCGCGTATCATGCCGGTGCGAGCTTCCCATCCGATGACCGATTCAACTACTACGGGTGCCTGGTGCTCTCGTACTGCAAGGCCACCGTCTTTCTCGCGTCCCTATCCATCATCGCGATGCTGGTGAACAGGAAGCTCCCCTCAGCGAGAGGCCTACGGTGGCACGCGCTGCGGTTGTCCGTGATCCTTGACGTGATCGGCCTCACTGGCGCCTTCGCCACCGGGGGCTACAGTAAGATATCGGCGATCGATGTCCTCGTTCTGCTCTTGCCAGTTTTACTCTGCATCGCATTCCAAGTTACACTGCCCATCTCCGGAACGGCGCGAGGCCTGGTGCAGACACTGGCAGCCAACCTCGGAGCGGCGGAAGAGGAGGATGGCTCCGAGGACGAGTTGGAGTTCAGCATAGGGGGTGGGACGAACGAGGAACCCTTCGGAGTGGAGATCTCCTCTCCGATCCTCGGGGGCGCGCTCACTCTGATCCTCGCCGTCCCTATGGTGTCCATCCTCGCCACTCCAGTGAAGTTGCTCGTGGCAATAATGATCGCCTCAATCTGGGTGCCCCTCTGGCGGAGGTCCTTCACCCCGCTACTCCGGCCGCTATCCAGAGCTCTCCGACGCCGGTGCGCTGTGAACCTCCAAGGTACCACGCCCGCGCCGGCACCGACTGGTTCCTCGACTCCCCGGGAACAACTGGTGTCCGCGCTATGCCATGGACTGTGCAGGGTGATACACGCGCTGTGTTCGGGAACATGGATGTGGATCCTCATCTTGGTGGTATGGGTCCCCTCGCTGAGGCAGAACCTCAAGCTCAAGTTCAAGATCTCCAAGATAACAGCCGTGCTAGGCGTGTTGGTTGTCTGTGCACCGACGACAGCTACGCCCACGACAGGCACGGTCGCGGCTACTGGGGTGAGCAACACGACCAGGACTACGACAGATGCCCCGAGCACGGGCACGGCTACCTCGTCCACCCCAACCACCGCAGCGAGAACGACGTCGAGCAGTAGCACGGGCCACGGGGATGTGCCTCTCGTTGAGCCGAGGCCTAGGAGGAACCGCCGGCCCAACACCCGTCTGTTCGGCCAGGACTGCTGGGTCAACTCATGATCCGTTACTGCCACTCAAAAATATGATGATCCGTTACTGGTAGGTCGACTGGAGCACTAAGTTTTTCTTTATATAGATCAAGTACTTTCTTCCTCGGGCAGAAATTTCAATATTTTGTCGCCTGAATTCATTTGAACATGTTTTGAATTCATTATTTTTACGGGCTGACACTGTAAGGGTTGCTACACTTATCGCATATGGCGTGCTAAATGAGTAGTATCGTTTCCGTCAAGCTATTCCCATTTTTGACGATATATCAGTCACGAAGGCTTGAATAGTACTCCAGTAACAGACACTTCATAGTAAGTCTTTCATAGGCCAGCAGTAGTAGTTACTCACACTTTTTGAAGCATATGCATGCTTACAACACGACCAGTAACTAGGATAACAGGAGGAGATGACTCGTATCTAAGAACTCCTTTGACTTTCCATCAGATCACTGACAGTGACTGTTACAGCCCGTATGCAACGCTGTTGGGAGAGGAGACTGGATCACGCTTTGGCCAAGCGACTGAAGCAGGAAGAGAAAAGGAACGCTGGAGCAACTCTGAACCTCACAAAACTGAAGAAAAGAACACGAGTACCACTTCAGTCGAAGCCACCCCAGGCAGGAGCAGAAGATGAAGATGCTGGACCCCGCAAGTCTGCCAGACCTGACGGGCCGTCCATACGGATATGCCGGGAAGGATGCATGGATCACGACTTAAGGTGGGGCCGAGATGTAAGTGTAACAAGCTCTACGCCTGTAGCATAAACAGGTGCCCTCTGGGATTGAGAGAGGCACCCGGTGGATTGTGGAACTGTATAATAGCCCCGGAAGGGGCGAACCGCTCTCCTCTTTTCGCTGTTGTAATTCCTGATCTGAGATGTAGAGATGAACTGAGCAAGTAGAGCCCTGTGAATGATTCCTGTGATGGTATAGTATGTCTGTAACACTGACGATGTTATCAGACCAGCTGATTTGTTGGGCAGCCGTATTGTCGGACCAGCTGACATCGAGACAACAGCCCTGGGAGCTGCTGGAGTCCGGACGAAGGAGGAAAATTTTGCAGGCTTGCACGAGGAGAACACGACTGTGTTCCGCCCCATTGCAAGGTTGATGAGGCACACAGGAAGAACAGTGGGGACTCCTTGTACAAGTTGGTTCCAAGACCATTTGATCTGGCCGATCTTCCGCTCTAGTTTGCTACACCTTGTTGGACAGTAAAAGCATCAGTGTGTGTACTGTGTAGTGTGTACCAAGTTAGGTGGTGTATCAGTTAGCCCTTGTTTGTCAACGGATAAAATGGTGTGTTGTGCATTACTTCCGTGGGGTTGTTCTTTCTTTTCCTAGTCCTAGGAAGAAAAAAAGAGTACATAAACATGGTAAATATTCACAAAGAAATATTTTTGTAAGTTTGTTGTTCAGAACAGAGAGGCTGATATTATCTGAGATATTCAGTACACTGTTTTGCCCATGCACATCCGCGTGTCCAGGCAGAAAACATCATATAACGATATCATAGCGGGGAACACAACCATTTGTAGACAGTAGCGGTCTACTTATTCGCCTTGCGTACTCTGCTTTATTTCAATGAGCACATACAAACTCTAGCAGGATAATTTGCAGCAGACTGCATGTCACTTCACAGCTTTAAGGAAGGAGGAAGAGGTGTCGGCCTTGCTAGCGGACGCTGAAAGAACCATCCCTTATCCTCAGTGAAGCCAGAGGCTGCAGCTGCACCATTCCCAGCCACTGCAGCAATTTATCATGAACAAATATTGGAGCAATCGTCAGAATATGACCGACTTCTATCTCAAACCATTTCCTGAACCATGGAAGGAGATTGAAAATACATAGCAAGAACGAGTCTGTTCAAGTTTGAAGGTCTCGCCCAGGGCAGGAGGCAGATGCATGGGTGAGAACAAGAACAATAGCCAGATATTTTTCAAGAACAGGAATACATCAATTATTACAAAAGAGTTATTTCTGCGTGTTTTTGTTCTTAATTTAACTGTTAAATCATCTCCGTGGGAATATTTAGCTTTGATGTTATTACTATGCACATTTCAGCAAAAGGCCTCTTCATTTACATGACACCAACCCGGCCAAGTATATCTGGAAGACTAGCTTAGTTCTATGGGTGTTCAGGGTATGAAGTCTGAAGTAAAAACAACATGTCAGACAGATCGGCAGCTGTTTTCATAAACCAGCACACTTTCAGTTGATCACATTTTTGAAGCATCCATACTGATTGACAAGAGATGTTTGACTGTCGCTAAACAAAGGAGAAGATGTTCGACAGACATTTTATTCTGATTCGTCTCATTCATGAAACTGACATGAGTACATGCCCTAACAAGTTCTTGCCGAGGCAGTGCAAGGACTCAGACGGGGCGGACGGGACAATGGACGGGTTGAGGCGAAGATGCCCTTCTCCTCAGTGACGCTGGATGCAGTACCATGTCCGACTTGTGCTGCAGCGCAGCAGCATTTTCACAGAGTATAAGTAACTAGCGTGAAAGAGTGGAAGCGAATAGGCAGTATCAGGAAGACGCATGATTAGAACAAATAATATCTGCCCCGAACATTAGTTGAGTTTGAAACTTTGTAACATTACATCCAGTGATATTATGGTTTACAAATAACAAATACTTTATCAAAATAAGTTGAACACATGAAAGGAATCGAGACAGGTAACATAACTAAAAGAAATATGTGCATGGCAAGAAATGAGTATGTTTGAGACAGTTTAAAGAGCTCACCAGTGAGAAAGGTGGCATCAAGTGCTCCAGCGTTCTTCAGATCTGTTGGTGTCTCCTGGCCCATCAGGGGAAGTACATGGCCGTGGGAGATAACAAGAACAATGGCCAAGGTCAGGAACACTGTGGATGCCATGTTTTGCTTTCACAGGGGAAATGGTTGAGTGTCCAGATGAAATGAACTTAGCGCCCGCTATATACACAAACACCAATCTGATGGGAGTTTGGCACTCTCCCAAGAAGGTAGTAATATCTTGTAGAGGGGGGCAATAGGCCACCTCACCAGCATACTGGAGAAAATGGGCCGCACTCCATAATTGTGAGTTGTCAGCCCGGCAAGTGTTTGGCAGTCATAATGGAATATCTTGCACGGGACCTTATGCTAGAGATAGGTCTAAATTCCACCTAATATATCATGCTTTATATCAATTTGGTTGAAAGAACATGCAAAAGCTTTATAGCAGTACAATGACCACAGGCCATATGTATCCACTTCCCAACTCACATAATTCAGGCCATCAAATACGCTGGGAGCTTGAGATCTCAGTAAATGCAATTCCTAATATTTTGCGGTGTCCGGTGGAGGCGGCGGTGGCGCCATGCAGCTGTCTGGCAGTTGGCCGCCGTGCACCCGGGAACACTTGAGGTCATCTTAGTGTATTCTGAAGAGAATCTCATGCATCAGGAGGTTTCACATAGGCCAATACGGTATATATGGTATGGACGATGGTGCAGACCAGCACCACTGCAGCAGCAACCGTGGCCAAGCCCAACCAAGGGTTTACAAAGTGATTGAGCCACAACCAAGCTATCCACCTATTTATGCGACTCTGGTAATGAACCTCCAGGATCTGACACAGATACTTTAAGTAGTACCTGTCATCAAATCTGAACACGACTTGTTTAGTGATTCTAGTGAAGAGAGCCGACACCTCTTCATCACTATCCATCATATGCACGATGATGCCGCTCTTTACAAACATTGTGGCATCATCAGTTGTAGCTATAACCTGGGACATGAACGTGACGTAAGCACTGAAATCATTGCCAAACTTGGGCTCTGTTTGCTCAAGTGCTATCAGGTTCTTGAAAAGGGGCTCAGTAGTTTCGTCAATAGGCACACAAGGTACTTCTATAACCCCGTTCATGAACCTTATATCGAGGAGAGAATGTCTACTTTGTCCATCCCACTTCCTTCTCTTAAACTGAACTCCTGCTCGATGGTATTCTACTGCTCGACGCCAGGGACTCCAAAGTTTTCCAGCTTGAAAGCAATCCATCTGCTCTAAGTTTTTCTCAACATCAAAAGGGGTATGGCAAGCTGGAATGCATTTGTGTCCAAGATGTAAAAGACGATGAAAAAACCCTTTCATGGGGACACGATACTGGTGCACTTCGTCCATTTTCTCACTAGGTCTGAAGTACATGTGACACAAATGGAGCAAATGATGGAAATGTTTGGGCCTGTTGAATTCTTGTATAGCTTTTGGATAATGACCAATGATGTCCTCTACAAATTCAGCAGTTTTGCTTCGAAGCGATTCAACTGTACCTTGACCTGCAACCAGTCCGTACACGCACTCGACAACGAAAAAGGGTATTTGGTTCTCTAACAATAACACGCCATGCCATGCAGAGCTAGTCAACCAACTTTCAAAGGGGTCAATGTTCTCCATGTTTGCCCTGTGGTTCACATCCTCCACTCCAATGTTTCTCCCTTCTTGATTCGCTTCCAACATGCTCATTTCCAGCTCCATGGCATATCCATGGTCCCTATTTGTACTGCATCCAACTCCGCAGGCTGGCTCTTTTAAATTTGTGACTGCTTCTCCTATGATATTTCCTCCCTCTACTGCCTTTTGGTTGGAGCTTTGCTCCAAAATTCTTGAATTTGATACTCTGGTGCCAGCATTTTCGTCAATATTCATCAGTAGAAAGCATGCATCCAGCAAAAGCATCTGTACAAACCGCTTCCTCTCCATTTCTATTACCTCAGAGTAACATTTCCTAGCTTGTTTCTCCACTCCAGCAATTGCTTTTATGTGTTCATTCAAAGTTCTTTCACAGTTTATTTTCAATACCCTGTCTAAATGCTCCCATTTGCTCTTCTCCATGGCTTGAAGGTGTTGAGATCCATGGTTATAAGGGCCAAAAGATACAACAATTGGTTCATAGGCAATACGATCAATCTCACGAATGTGTTGTGGTACTCTATAGATAGGACTTGTTTTGGTACCAGCGTCAGGTGGATCTTGCATTGACCAGAAGGAATTTACTTCTCTTGACATGGAATTGACCATCTTATCCATGTCTATGGTTTTGGATGTAGAACTTACAGCAAATGCCATTGTTCTTACAGATGCCAATCAGCCCTGAGAGAGTTCAACAGACCCGCATGCTTTTTCTCCAGCAGCAGTATATCACCTATGACGGAGAACAATTGAAACTACTGAGCAGCATTAACATAGATTAGAGATATTAATTTCATTTAATCCCAATATTGTTAACTGAATTTGCATGTGAGGAACACATGGGCGGAGAAAGATTGAAGAAAAATCATATTGTTCTACAAAATGGATATAAAGCGTGATCAAGCACTATAACGCACCTGTGGTCTATTCTGTTTAGAAATGGTAGGATTTTGCGCCAAAATTACCGGAGTATGCGACAGATCCACATTCTTATTAATAGTGATGGGATGATTCATGGACAAGGAAGATACACAAATATGGTGACAACACACAAGCCATGAGGAAGACTAGGTAAGGGGTGAGTGAAACGGCTGAATCTGATCAGCTTTAAAATCAAAACTATCGGTGATCAGATATTTACTAGATATCATTAAACGGAATCACACGTTGCCAGAATTAACAGGGTTACTTAGTAATGCTAACAACCAGATGCAGTCACCCCCAGGCCACCGAAACAAAGTATTTAACCCCCGCAAACAAAATTAATAAATTAGATTACACTAACATCTTGCAGATTTCACTTATCGATTGTTTTCACTCGAAGCTAGGTAATTTTTTCGCTGCATCGGGGGTGAATGTCAATACTCACATCTCCGCCTTTCGCTCTCTGTACAGCTCGCCAATCGACCAGCAGCCAGCTGTGCTTCAGATCTAGGGCAGATTGGAGCTCGGCGGCGGCGCTTCGTGTTTCTTGTCCACCTTTAACGACGAGAGGAGCCAGCAAGATGAGAAAATGATAGGGTGGGACGGACAATCAGAAGGGGGGGAGCGGGTGAAAGGAGGGGGAGCGGCAGGAGCGGGCGGCTGATGCCGAAGGCCGCGGATCCCCTCTGTTTTCGACTCTCACCACATGCGCATGAGAAAATGAGCGAATATTCAACTTTAGAAGAACTTATGTCCAAATATCTTTTTTTTTGTTTTTTCGCTATTTTTGTTTTGAGTAGGGACACGACCCAGTGGCTGCTGATGGCTACTGCTAAGAAAGCCCTGACCATAGCCCACCAGCCTTTACTGATTCGTCCAACGACACAACGGAAACCTCATTGACCACGAGCACCTCCTGGATCGTGTCCAACCTCACCTACTTGGGAGGAGAGACCCAACCTACCTCGGGCCTAGATCTGGTCCACCTTCTAACGCCTCGAGAGCGATGCTCGAGTTGCCTTCCATTTATTTTTCGTTGTTGTCGTGTGCTTATTTTGTTTGTTGCATTATCATAATTATTTTGCATATTTCATTTCTCTATGTTGGTGCCATGACCATGTTGAATGCCTTGTCATATTTTGCTTCTTGTAGCATGTTCATCTTTTATTATATTGCATTATGCCATCCTTGTTTGTTTTGCCATGCCTATCTCTTGTCATATTGCTTTTGGTCATTCATGTTGTTGCCATGAGCATCATGTGCATTGCACTCATCCTTACGTTACATGTTACTTTCATGCTGTGTGTGTATCAGCCCTTGCTATCTCTCTCTCAAGCCATGCCCATGTATCATCACCTTTCCCTTCCTTCTTCCTTCATGTTTTGCAAGCGACATTATTCCCTCCTCCAATAATGTTCATTTATTTTCTGATGATCTTACTCTATGCCTTATACTTTTCTGTCAAATATCATCCATTTTGGAGTTGTTCTGGTTGGGTTCAAAAATGCCTCAAGTTTGAATTTAATTCAAACTTGGATTATTTCTCTACCTCTAAAAATTGCCAAGTCAATTTATTCAAATCCTGCATAAATCCATGACTCCATATATATTTTTATCTCTGGCATTTTTCCTTCCTAAAACCCCTGGCCTTTTCAATCTTGGAGGTGTCTAATTATTTTAGGCAGAATAAAAAAAAGGAAGGAAGGCCTCAATCCCAGCCGAAGCCCACCTGGGCCTTTCTTTCCCCGGCCCAGCCGAGCCGAACGGCCACCTGCTCCCTCCCTCACGGCGTCTCCTTCCTCCAGAGTACAGCAGCAGCAGCGCCGTGAGCAGGAGGCTCACGGACGTCGAGGCCAGCGTCTGCCCGCGCCCCTATAAAGCCCTCGCGGCATCCCTAGGGTTTCCTGATCCCCCTCTTTCCCCATCTCCGCCGCCACCCAAGGGCATCTCCCGTGCCTTCCTCCTTCCCCATGAGAGACCCGAGAGAGCGCAGGAGCATGTGCTCGTCGCCGGCGTGCTCTCCGTCAAGCCCAGCCGCAGCCAAGGCGGCAAGGAGTACCCCGACGTCGACTACTTCCTCTACTTCACGGATCGGACGCCATCTTGCCTTCCCGCCGTCGTCCACGTCGTCCACTCCTCTGCTTCTTCTTCTCGGAGCCAGGAACGCCTCTGCCGTTGAGCGTCCTCGATTCCGGCCGTCTCCGACCACCTCGCGGCAATTCAAGCACGCTCGCGTGTTTGTGGTGAGCTCCAGATTCCTCCCCATGTCTTTGACTTGCTCGATCGTGTCTTGTCCCTCGCGATTCCATCCCGTCCGAGCGCGTCGCCGCTCGTCGTTGTCGCTGGAGCTCCTCCGGTGGCCTCCTTCCCGTTTCCTTGCATCGCTGGGTTTAGGATCCTCTGTAGGTGTGTTTTCTTCCAGCTAGTTAACCGTTTCACCCCGCCGTTCGCCGTGTTGTGTTAGTCTCCGCCGCCTCTGTCCTCCCGACGTCGGCGATGTCTCTGTCGTCGTTTGGTGCCGTGAGTGGCACGCGGGAGTGCGGGTTTGTCCCGTGCATCGATCGCGCCCCTCTGCCGTGGCTTTTGGTCACCGGAGTTTCCTCCGATGAGCTCGCCCGCTGTCCTGCTTGCACGCGCCGATATGTCAGGGTGGACGTGACGAGCAGGCTTTCGGCCCGGCTCGTGGCTCGTTCTGGCCCGGACCGTGCGGTCCTGGCTCGCTCAATAATATGGCCGGTCCGGTCCACGCAAACAGGACCGAAATTCGGTCGGTCCGGTCCGCTGAAAGCTCGGTCCGGCTCGGAGGACCGAAGGCCCATCCCAATATACAGCTAATCAGGAGAGCCCAACGCATATAGTCGTGCCTCGTGCGTGCGTGACCTAGCGAGCGAGCTTCCTCTCTCCCTCGCCTCCCTCTCCCCTGCGCGGCTGCGCTGTCAGGCAGCTTCTTCTCTCCCCTATGCTGCCCCCTCCCTCGCCTCCCTCTCCCCGGCATCGGCCCCCTCCGCCTCGCGCCGCCGTGCCCTCGCGCGGCTGCTCCTGGTCTCCCCCGCGTAGCCGAGCCGCTCCCTCTCTCTTCCTTGCCGCTCCCTCGCGCTGCCGTGCATCAGGAGCGTCTTCTCCGGCTCCGGCCACCCTGCTTCTTCTCCGACCACCCCTCCGCCACGCTGGACCCACATGGCAGTGACTGGATGTCGCCGGACCGTGAGGACCGCCGGTCCGCACCGAGCTTCGCGCCTGCCGGTCCGGTCCCTGAAATCAGGACCGCTGCACTGCTCGGTCCGGTCCGGCCCGGACCGCCGGCGGCCGGTCCAAACGACGGCTCGGACCGGGACCGGACCAGCCCGGACCGTGTCCACCCTGACCGATATGCTCCTCTGTTCTCTCTCTCTGTTTCTTGCTTGCGCACATGCCCGCTGGCTTCGTTGCTCTTACCGCCCTTGCTGCACCTTCGCTGCCACCCCTCCATGCAGACGCGCACGGCCGCTTTCGATTGCGAGCCCGTGGCGCTGCTTCGTCTTGCAGCCCCATGATCGAGGCGACCTCGAGCTCGTCATCGAGTCTTCCCGCACACCCTAGTCTTCTGCATGATCTATCCTCACAACGCACCAACGTCCCTGTTCCGCACGTCCGCCGGTGCTCTACAGCCTCTGTAGTCGCCGTCTTGATCGAGTTCGCCGCCGGCAAGGATTCCTGTTCGTTCATGGAAGGTCAGGGATTGGCCTTGGTACCCATTCAAAGAGTACCGTGCTCCATCTCTAGCGAGATCACAGCACTAGCCCAGCTGGTTAGCCACACGCGCTCGCATCCGGGAGGTACTGGGTTCGAGTCCAAGGTGCCCCTAGTTTTTGCCTTTGTTTTCTTTTTCTCTGCACAACCACTCATCCGCTTCGGGCCAGATCTGCTGCTAGGCTTCCACAGTGCGCAGCATTCGGCCTGCTTCTTTTTTTTAATGTTCGCTGGGGTTTGTCTAATTCCAGTGCATGCATATTTACAGCCCCCAGTTTTTGCCTTTGTTTTCTTTTTCTCTGCACAACCACTCATCCGCTTCGGGCCAGATCTGCTGCTAGGCTTCCACAGTGCGCAGCATTCTGCCTGCTTCCTTTTTTTAATGTTCGCTGGGATTTGTCTAATTCCAGTGCATGCATATTTACAGTAATGCCATCATTTTAAAATGCTCATTACTAAATGTCCATGCATCCAAATAAACATGTTATATATGTAAAATGCTCACAGCAGGCTTGGATCCAAGGGACTATTTTTAGTTTGACTAAAACTAGTCTTTTTTAGAGGCTAAAGTTCTAATCACCCCCCTGACTAAAAAGAGGCCAGAACTAGTCTTGAGACTAAAAAAATTTAGTCAGGGGAACCCTACTAAAATGTGGATTAGTCCTCTCTCTCCCCATTTAGCTCCTCTCCTTTAACACATACGAGTTCTGAATTGGAGGGTTTGGAGGATAATAAATGCTCATTAACTCGATTTTAGTCTATTTAGTATTTGTATCCAAGCATGGGTGAGGCTAGCAAGTTTTAGTCCCACTACTTTTAGTCATGGGACTAAAACGTATCCAAGCACCCTCTCAGACATGTTTGAAATGTTTAAAATGGATGTTTGCATTTAATTTATATAATGACATGTTAAAATGGTTTATTTCATAACTAAATAACCGTAGCTCGGTTTTAAATGTTCTTTATATGTAAATGGGCTAGAAAAATGCATAGATTAACATGGT